ATTTGACCAATCATAGTAGTTTCCAGTGGGTTTCACCAGTCAAAGCAGTTCCCACGCACAAAAAGTTGAGCCGTACATCACCAAACTACATCGCCTTCGAATTTTTAAAGATTTTTTTGAAAGAATAGTAACTTTTTTTTTGTTGCAATTTTCACTTTCTTACCGCAAAAAAAAAAAAACATGTAACAAGCATCGCAATCTGTCAGAAAAGCTGTGAAATCTGATATTTTAGGTCCGAACCGTCCGATATACGGCTCCGTGTTGTTTTTATATTAATAATTGTGTTTAGTTTAATTGAATTAACTGACCTAAGTTCTCGATGCCATTCTCAGTTCATCAGTGTTGCTTCGGCTTTCTGTCTGTGCTTCTGCGTCCGTTCTTTGGTACAACTTAACTATTTTGCTTTTATGTAGTTTTGACCACAGGTTCTTCTCCAGCGTGTAGTCGTGGTTGGCGTAGAAAACGACGTGTGTTTTCGTCTTTTCAACATAGTAGTTAGAGTACTTATTGTAGTCCTCGGTCATGAATCCATACAAGTCCACCTGAAGACGAGAAAACAGAGTTAGATGAGAAGATCAACACCAATCTCACGTCTGTCTGTCCAATTCGTAGCTACAGCCAGCAGACAGTTAGCTTATCATTAGCGTAAAGCCTCAGTAAAGCTCACTAATTAACACGTTATTATCACGTCAACATTTCGAGGGTTTTTTTGGGTCTTTTTAAGAAATGACCGAAAAATTTTGTTTTTGAAACAGATTAAACAAACCAGATAAAACATTTATTAGTGAGCTTTACAGGAGCTGTTTCCAGTTTTTATGCTAAGCTAAGTTAATCACCTTCGAACCGAAGTGTGAACCTATCGTGACGTCACCCATTGGTTTGTGGAGCTCCGTTTTGAAGCCTTGTGTTTTGGACAGTAAAACGGAGCCAGCGCGAGCCAGCGGAGGTCACGTACTGCGAGTTGCTCTACGCTCATTGGCTGCGCAGTTTTGACCTCGTCCACAGTCGGAAACAATCTTATTACAGCTAAACAGTAAACTAAAACATGTTTCTGAAACGATTTTAAGTCAGAAATAGTCAACACAGTCACAGAATCTATCAGTTTGATCTGAGTTTTGTGCGCTGAGCTGGACGAACTCACTGAGAGTGACCTGTCAATCAATACGTAGCCCCGCCCCAAAAGCATACGCAACTTTATCGTCTATTTTACTCTAAAGCGGATCATAACTTAAACTTAACTTAAATCAACATCATAATGTTTGGAAGAAGATGTGAAACTAGCGATTGAGACCATAAACTTGTTAGTAAACTGCTTATATATACTGTCAATGCTTCAAACTCCCTGCACATCTCCCTGAATGTTGAACTATATCCTTTATTGTATACTATACACTTCAATAACACAATAAACTCATTGAATACTTTAATGTCAATAACTTTGAGTCAAACTGCAGAGTCAGGGCAATAAAGAACATTCTTAATAACGTTGCCAGACCCTGTCACTCTTTCCATGTCCTGCCTTTTGTCTTAAACTCACACTCACCCTCCGCACCCTATTTATTCACTCTCCTCCTGAACAGGTTTAAACAGGGATGTTTAAATTTTTAGTAACAAGTTTAAGTAACATTAACTTACGACGTCACAGGTGTGCAGAGCCAAGAAGACAGTGAACGCCCGTTGGTTGGTCTGACTATCGCCCAGAATGTTGCATTCAGATTACGAGACTTTAAGAAGCTTGGGGCAAAGAACAAAGTCAAAAACACATATACAGACTCATTAAAGGTCGTAAATGACGTAAGAATTTGCTTTTAATCTGAGATACTTTGTCAACTCTTAAGTCTTATATTATCACTTGTTTTTATTTTTGCTTTCTGCTTAATATTTAGCACTTTTGGTCTGAGAATACTATTATTGTAAAAAACAAACAGTCTGTGTGGGGTTATGAGAGGGTATTCACCTGTTCCGCACATATCTGAGGAAATCCTGGTGCAGAACATAAAAGCGAGTCTCATTGTACTGCCCGCCGTAGTACGTCCGTGGCCTGTAGGACGGATTAAAAAGGCAGAGTTAGAAGTGGACGTTTGCAGGATGGCATGATGAAAAGCAGGCTTAGTTTGTATATACAAGTTAATACAAGAGCTGGGGAATTGAATACAGACTTTACCTCAAATTAACTCAGTGACAGCACACGATCCACTTTTGTTATTATTAAGTATATTAGATGTGGGTGGAGGATGAGCGCAGTATCTCTGATTTGTTTATCTGACTGTGAATGATCAACTTTATTGAGTCTTAACGTGTGTCAGTGGACGCTTAGAGAGTCTGAAGACTTTAAAACTTTATTTTTAAAGTAAAAAGAATATGTATCAACTCGTTTTCTGTGCTTCCTTACAAAAAGGATTATTATGTTTGAAATGTGTTTTTAAATGTATAATTTAAGGACATAATATTTAACATTTCCACGTAAAAATGTCAATGAACACCTAAGTTCTGTACTTTTATCCAGTTTTAATCACTTTTTTACAATGAACTGTTTAGATCTTGGTTGTTTTTAACTCTTTATCTTATCTGGAAGTTATCAGAGAAACAAGATGAGCTAACATTAGCAGCAGCTTGTCTTACAGCCCCTCTGAACACTGGTTTCAAGGTGGAACTGCTTTATTCAGGGTTTTTTACTGGCTTTAATCACAGCATCTGTTTAATTTGGAGAGGAGGAAAATAATAATAATTCAGCTCCTGGTAAAAACAACAACTCCCATGATCCCAACGCCACTTCACTTCTTGTTATTGTTTCAATGTGCAGCAGTAATTACATATTGTGTGTTTAAATGCAAACAAAAATCTTATTCTAATTTAAAAGCCAAATTAAAAGTGTTGCTTGTTATGTTTATAACAAAGATGAGTTTTACTTTTGGATTTTTTAAAAGGGAGTTTTGTGTCTTACAGAGTTTCCTGTGAATTACATGTAACCTCTATAAACTCACACCTGCTCTCCCATTTGCATCAGATATTAGACTGTGTGTGTGAGAGTTCATATTCACCGTTTGTTATGATACGGGCCAGCTGTGACCCTTTCTCCTTTGAGGAGACCCTCGAGCCAAAAGAAATCCCTCATCCCCTCAGGAATTAACACGTGTTTTATACCCTGCCAACAGGAAGAAGAAGACAGTGTGATATTGTTCTGGTTTAAACCCTCGTTCATCTAACGTCATTCAGATTCAGGGTACCTCATCATTGGGGATAGATGTGTATCCGTACTTCTTCAGCAGATACTGCGACATGGTGATGGAGTGGGCCGTGTGGACGTACACTGACGTTTTGTTTCCCACGTCTTCCTCGTAGCCTTTAATGATGGCGCCGTTCATCCTGCCGTGCAAACACATACAAATGTAAGATTAAGATAAGATATAATATAACAATGTGTTAAACCCTTGAGGGAAACAGACAAACCAGAATAGTACGAGTATAAATATACAGATTAAAATAAAGGTAAAGATGAAGCACACTAGATATGTCGACATGTGGTTGGACTTTCATCAGATAATTATAATTAATACATTTCTTTGATACCCACAAAGGCTCTGAATCAAGATTATGATCAAACATACGAGGTCTGCGTAGATTTTTTCGTTTCCAGTCAATAAAACGCCTTTTTAACTAAATTAAACTGAATTCAGACTAACTACGATTATCAGCAGCTGTCAACACGCAATAACAGATTATTGTCAAACACAGCAACTAAGTCAGAATGCAAACAGACATATACGTCTATTGACTGGGTGTTCACTATGTGTACAAAGGAGAGCCTGAGCATATATGCATAGCTGTATCCGACTGTTTGTATTTCATGGACAGCTCCGTATGAGCACTTAGCATACGTTATGTACAGGATGAATTATAATATATATATATTATAATTATTACAGCGTGCTATGACGGTCTAAACCAAGAGGAGCATTCAGATCAGCTTGTTCAGAGAGGTTGTCGCCACGCTAGCGTTAGCATTTTTATCTAATACAACCGCTAACATGACTGTTCAGGCTCATTAATTGTTTCTGGGGATTTTTAAATGAATTTATCGATATGTTAAACACATTTTCACAAGTCTGATTGATTGATTGACATGTATGAACAAACAAAAGTGTGATCTGGATTTGGTGGTAAAGGTAAGCGAGTGAAGCTTGTACATTTATATATATAATAAGGGTTCGGCACAGCGAACAGGTTTCTCTGGAATGAGGCCACGAGAGAAGACAATAAAATATCTGATTCTTGACATCTTGTTTATTATTGCATGGTGCTAACACAGCGCCAGGCTCCTCTGGCACATTACTGGCAAATCAACAGAAAGGATTCACCGCCCAACAACCGTGTAATATGTTAACAAGCTCCTTTGCCAGTATGCAGTGCCAAATAGCTCAAGGTGAAGTAAGGTAAGGTTAGTTGTTTATGTGAGCCGTGGCAGCAACTTCATGAACTGTGGCAAAGCCCCTGTGGCACGTTTTCAACCGTCTGAAGATCTGTGCCCACGTGTTTCATGAATTTAGAATTTAGTTGATAATTTTTTGCCGATTTGGTGCTACGTATTTTAACTAACTTCTCCTAGGGCTTCACACAGTCAAAAACTTGCAGCCATTGTCCTATTCAACAAACTCAACTCTGCCGCATCGACTCTCTCAAAATCCACACAATTGGACATGCATCAGTGATGGAGATCAGCAGGACTCTCGTGGTTCAGCGCATTGACACAGTATTTGTTCTCCAGTCATGTGACAAAGATAAGCTAAAACTGGACGAGAGGCTTTGGGGTTGTTGGCGGGCAGGATGTATAAGAGGAATAATGGGATCCTCATATCACTAAATACTAATGGAGACTAATGATTACGCGTCACAGTGTTTGGAAGCCTTATACGCCGCCGGGAGGGGCCGAACAAACAAAATCAACAAGTTTTCTTACCGGAAAACATAATCATGAGAATCGACTTCTTTCCCCTTTTTAGAGCCGTTGAGGATCCCCCCGGTGCCCACCACGGCACAGCGCACGCAGCCGCCACTGCCGGGCTTTGGAAGCAGCAGCGGCTCGTTCGGTTTCGGGATCAACTTCACTGCAGGTATCACCTCTGCAAAACAAAACAAAAACTAACAAAAACATGCAAAACACACACACGAGATGCACCATCAGTTCACAACAGGAGCTTTTACAACTGTAATCATTATTTTTATGTTAACAATGACAACCAGTATGAAGTTTAAACCATAATAATGCATTTATTACATGATTATACCCGTAAAACTTCTAATAATAACCCGGGCTAAATCACTAAACTCACCCTGCCTTTAATTGGGGACAGGCCTTTAATTCCTTTCTTTGCTCAGTACAGATGGAAATATTATCATATTGCCTTCCCTGAGTTTTGTTTATCAAATTTAACGACTAACTTGAATTTTAGGTCGTATTTTGCGTTTCCTTTGGTTTTATACATCCAGTCAGTTTTTAAAATCCAGACCAGGCCTCTAAAGGAGACCTGCATCTATCTGGGACTCTGCTTCTATTAGAAGTTTTACGGTATATTTTGTGAGATCTTAACTTTCACCTAAAATTCTGCATCAGTAAACAGTTTAAAAGTTCCTAAAAACCAAAACAATGAGCTAAAAGATGTTAAAATGTTCAGACCTAGAAAAGCAAAACATTTTGACAAATTTGAAGGAAAAAACAGAAGTCAGTCAGCGTTATGTTGCCAAAACAATGAGATCAGCAGTTTAACAATTTCAGGAAGAAATAAAATGGATAAAAATACCTATTATCTGATCAGTTACATACACAGAGGATTGTGAAATACAGTCTTGGTACACTTTGTCTCTCTCACACACACACACACACACTAATGCGCACCCGTCGTATTTGAATCCCATGAAACCAAACGGGTTGTTAAAATGTGAAAGTCGGTTCCACTCGCTCATGTTGAAATTGTCTTTGTGCAGATACAGACGTATGTTGGGGAGAAAAGCCTTCTTGAAGCTCGGATCCTCAGATTTGCGCAGAGACTGGGCACACGTCTGAGAATTAAATATGAATTAATTAAATATTAATGAAACAAAACATATAAAATGTGAATGTGTTTATCTGGCTACATTTAATTGAAACTCAGTTGATAGAAAAGCCAAACAGGTTGAGGAGATTACTCATTGATAGGCGATAGGTTTGTGAAAGCATTTAAAGTGGAAACCAAACAGAAAATCCAAGCAGGTCACACCAAAGATACACAGCTGAAGATGGCTGTGCAGACACCAGCTGTGATTACCCACTCCCACAAAAGTTAACACATCCATATCTGTCTTATCTTGTCCTAACTTGCTTACTGTCTGTCTGGGTGGGGCATCCTGGTTATAAACCTCCTCAAAATCCCACTGAGGAAGCCTCTTGAAGGAATTTCTGGAGAGGATGGGCATGGGGAGTCTCGACCACGGGGGCACTCGTGGTGGCTGTGATACGGTCGGGTTTTAGCTTTGTCACCGTGACTGTTTTTGTGGCATCAGCAGTTTTTGGTTTATGTGATGTGGTGAACACAGGAGGAGGTGAAGTTGAGTTTTATTATATCCCAGTACTCAAACAAACTGCCTTCACCTCTGTATCTGAATTTTCCCTGAGACAGCAGTCCGGCTGAGTTGAAAGTTTGACAAAAGAGTAATAGATTCAATATATAATATGTATTATGTGTTATATATTAGGAAGATACAAGTTTAAGTGTCTTTAAAATACAGTTTTATACACATTTCTCTTAAAAACATGAACAGAATTAGCAATAGAAATTGTTTTAACAGGCTAAATAAATCTTCCAACATACTACAAACACAACTTACCTGATGCTTTCTGATAAATATCCCCATGATATAATTAAAAGAACAACAGTAACTGAGACCACAAACAGCCAAGCAGTAATCCTGGAGGTTAGGAGCGCCATTCCTAAAAGATTTGCTGTCCGGTTAAGAAACAGTGACTCTGTGGTTTGTTTTTTTCTTCTGGAGACTCTGGCTCGATGGAAAAGCCACCAGAGTGTACCTTGTCACCAAGGTTAATTTGGGCAGGGCTAATGTGCAGGTAGAGATAGACACACAATGAAACAGGAACCATACACACACATACACCTTCACAATAGTACATTGTGGTGGTTTATTACACA